GGGAACATAAATTGCATTTATACAACAAAACATTTATCGTCTCTCAATTACCAAAAAATAAAATCTACAAGCCTTTGTTAAAAATGATAATAATAATAAAAAAAATTAAAAAAAAGATAGATAAGATTAATAAGATTAAAACAAAAAAATAAAACAAATACAGCAAGGCAAAAAAATAAAACAAAAACAAATAAATGCAGGATTAAAAACCAATGCTGGATGAAGTTGCACCGCCACATTCAACCTGCGGGGGGCGGTGCGGCGCCACTACTGCGCACATTACAGGAAGAGAAGAAGAAGGATTTCGGTTGTGGGCGCGTTTGATACCCGCCGCTGTTTGTTGTTGTATTGTACCACAGACGACTCACAGGTACAGTTGGACCTCTAACACGGTGTGTATATATATCTCGCAGCCGTTACGTGATGTGTGTGTTTAACTCGGGCCTCTCCTGCAGGCCGGGCAGCGACCTGGCCTCTGGTAGCTCGGCTGTGTGTGCAGATATCAGCTGCACATGAGGCAAAAAGAAGCTGTTTGACTGAATATTTAAGTGCTTTGTCTTTGCAGAAGCCTGAGCCATGAGTGAGTTCAGGATCCACCATGATGTGAACGAGCTGCTCAGCCTGCTTCACGTCCGAGGAGGCGACGGAGCAGAGGGATACATAGACTTACTGCAGAAACACAGGACGCCTTATGTGACAACTACAGTGTCTGCACACAGTGCCAAGGTGCTTTTACACTCTCAATAATGCTTTATTCAGCTCTACAGGCACAGAGAATCAGACATAATGCCCTGGGATTGATGAGGAAGGATGGGTTTGTGAACTTCTGCATCATTTGCCATTAAATTAGGGAGATTTAGAGCTCTGTCAGGGTTCACACTTGTCCTGGAAAAGCTGGAAATTTAGAGACTAGACCTGGAAATTGATTAATGACCAAACATCCTGGAGATTAACTGTGTTGTCCTGGATTACATATTAATTACGTATGTCGTTGGTGGGGGATAATTGTACTTTCTATATTTATTTTAATAGGCAAACAGGTAAGGAGATGAATTTTCTTTGATATAAAGTAAATTCTACTTGATTTGAACAGTTATTTATGCTCCACTGAGGCCGCTGTGGTGGAGAGCTCCATAAACGCTGGTGTGAGTAAGTGCTGACCTGTATTCTCAGAAAAATGAGAAAAACTCCTGGAAAAAGATTTCTTAGAAAGAGTGGGAACCCTGCTCTGTTGTGACCTGAGCATGAGCGACTTTTATCTGTCAACATATCATTTGTGAGACTTTTTGAGCTGGAATATAGTGTATATAATAGGAAACTATTTTAGCCTGTAAAGAACAATTAGAGCTGCACAATTGCAATATTCACATCACACGACAGGATCATTGTGAAGTACTGTAGTGCTGCAGATTTAAGAAAACATGTTTGTTTGGTACAGACCCCGACAAATGTCCTAAAATCCTAAAATGAATACTGTAATCTCTGAGATATGTGTCTATGCATGTGTACAGTACATGTGTTTAAGAAATAGAAATATATTCTGTGACAGAGACTGCACATTCAACCCGCAAAGACAAAATAATAATCTTTTATTGACACTGACAATGTGTTTCGCTCAGCGTGGATAAAACCTAAAGATCTTTATTATTATATTTTTGCAGGTTGAATTTTTTCTGATTGCGTTTTCCTCTCCCAGTTGTCAGCAGCTGTAGCTCTGCAGTACTCGCTGTGTGCAAGATTATTTCTCTTCATAGAAGCATTATTGTTCTGGAAAATGATTCCTTGATAAGGGCTGGTTATCAGATGAAGAGTTACATACATAGCAGCACAGTGTGTCACCATTTAAATATAAAACAGGTGTAAAAGGGTTTAAATCAGCTATCGTATTGCTGTGAAAAGGATTTGTCGCACCTCTTGTGGAAATGAATGTGTTGCTAACTGTGGATATTCTGATGATAATGGCTGTTTTATCATTTTCAGGTTAAATTAGCGGAGTTCTCTAAAACCCCCGAAGACTTCTTGAGGAAGTACGAGGAGCTCAAGTCCAAAAATGTTCGAAACCTCGACCCTCTCGTCTATCTGCTCTCCAAACTCTGCGAGGATAAAGAGGTGATACACAGCTTACAAGCAGCTAATGCTTTTGTTTCTTATTACTTGGATATCAAATGAATTTATTTCACCCATTGGTTTCACAGATTTGAACTACTTATGTAAAGAGTGATTGCTGTGTTTTCATGTGATTTTTCTATTAACATGGGAGTAGTGTTGAGAAACAAGTGTAATATACAGTTAATGCTGCCACACAAACCATCAAATAATCAGCTAGTGTTTCTGATGTAAATAGAAGCTCAAAACCCACTCATAAGAAAACAAAGGCGTGTATTGATTCAGGTCAGGCCCATAGATTTCTCTCATGTTTAACATTCATAGATAAACTGCTTCATAGAAACGTAGTAGTTCTCCACCGTCTCACAGCTTTGTCGCAATGTTTTCGTAGACGCTCCAGTTTCTGCAGCAGAATGCCAAAGAGAGGTCGGAGTCGTCGGCGAACACGACGTCAACCACAACGACCAGTTACAGTCTGCCTCAGACCAGCTCCAAGATGTCCATGCAGGAACTGGATGAGCTGCGGAAGAAGCTCGGCAACGTGACGGCCAGCTCCAACGCTCCTCTGGTGAGCATTTCTTACTCAGATGCAGAAGATCTGAAGGTTAGGTTGAAAGAGAGGGTGGGTCATTCGGATGGGATTAATTCATCATCGGGAGGTTTGATGATTTTTAATCCCATCTGGAGTGTATTTGTGTGTGCTTTTCTTCCCTTGCAGCCCCGATTACCTGCATGTTACTATGTGGTTGGACAGCAAAATAGTTATTTTCTAGAATAACTCGGCCCTGAGGTTAATTAAAAGGAGCAGGGCAAATATTTTATAACCTTCATGGGAGAACCTACTGTTTTTTAGAAAGTTTAAATTCCATTTCGCATTGTAATTTTTCGGTCTGTCTTTGTGGTTCTGCCTGCAGCCTGCCGAAGTCATACGGAAGACGCTCAGGGACAAACACAACAAGAAGAACCCCACCCAGCCCAACCCCGTGTTTCCTAACTGGGTGTACGACCGTCCTGCTCTCCTCGGAGACTTCATCACCAGCCCCACGCCTCCAGGAGATCCAGCTGTGGCCATTGGTGAGATGGTTTTTAAATAATAAAATGACCTCCAGTGAATGACTGTTGTTAGAGTCTGTAACAGTGTTCTCTGCGGTCAGGTACGATGCCCCTGGCTGCTCAGGAACAAGCTCTGGTGGAGGATCTGCTGTTTGTCCTGGTTGGAGTTGACGGGCGGGACATCACAGCTCAGCCTGTACTGGGGAGGCAGAACCGCTCCTTCATCATCGATTCCACACTGGACATGTCTGTGAAAGAGCTGGTTAACAGAATATTACCTGTTGCGTCATATTACTCCACAATAACACGGTGAGTGAGAGTCAGATCAACCCTTTCAAAAACATTACAGCTCTGGTTGGTACACGTTTGTGACTGCCACAGAGGAAACATTGTTAGATGGCGGGATTGTTTTTGTCCTTCAGCTTCATTGAAGAGAAGTCGTCCTTCGAGTACGGCCAGGTGAACCACGCGCTGACGGCGGCGATGAGGACTCTGATGAAGGAGTACCTGATCCTGGTCACCCAGCTGGAGCACCTCCAGCGGCAGGGCCTGCTGTCCCTGCAAAAGCTCTGGTTCTACATCCAGCCCACCATGAGGACCATGGAGATACTCGCCTCTATCGGTAAGAGTCGGGAGTTTTGATTGCGAGGATGATGAGTCTGATGTTTTCCTGCTGTTTGCATTCTTCAAACTTTACTGTGTACTTACTGTGTCATTTAGACAAAAACGAGAGGGGAAGGAAGAGACAAGAAAAGGACGAGGAGTTAGGACGTGAGCCTGATTAATCAAACAGCTGGAGGACAGCGATTAGTTGTAATGATATCAAGAGTATAATGTTGTCTGTCAGGCTGCTTCTGTGATGGATGGTAAAACTTATTTTGCAGTTGAATACAGTTCATCCCTGTGGCTAAATTAATGACCATCATAAGCACGAGAGACACTCGTCCCTGCTTCTGTGACAACACAAACCAACCCAGATCCTCCAGTTTTTATCATCAATGTCATCATTTATTAGATACAGTATGGACATGTTGCTGCCTATTTTATACAGAAAGAACAACATAAAGTTATGACTTGATTAATTACCGTTTGCTCACATACTGTATTTAAAGCATTTGCTGGTATTTACCCTGTAAGAAGAAGCCTTGAAGACAGAATGCTCGTTTTAACCACTGGAGGGCGATCTGAACCAGGTTTTGTATTTTATCTCAGGGTGGAATAAGTATTCAGATCATTTACTTAAGTTGAAGTAACCAGTACCTTACTAACTGGTTTAATTTTTTACAAAGGATATTTTTATATAAACTATAAACCATATTTTATCTCTGAAATGTAGTGGAGTAGTAGTAGAAAGTACCATTAAAGGGAAATACTCAGGTAAAGTACAAGTAAATGTACTTACTGTCCACCACTGTCTCTAAATAAATAAAACTAATAAGTATAACATTGGCTGATCTTTTACTGTTATCTTCAGGAAGTTTCTAGAAAGAGTTGCTACAAACATTATGTTATTGCATCTTGATTTTAGTAACGAACAGGCTTTAGAAATGAAAATAACTGTCTCTACTATTTCCGCAGCGTCCTCTGTGGACAAAGGAGAGTGTATGGGTGGGTCGACGCTAAGTCTTCTCCATGATCGAACCTTCAACTACACCGGTGACAGCCAGGCTCAGGAGCTGTGTCTCTACCTCACTAAAGCCGCCAGTGTCCCTTATTTTGAAATACTGGAGAAGTGGATCTACAGGGGAATCATCAAGGATCCATACAGGTATGGTTCAGACTCAGAATAACTAAACAACCCACCGTATCTGCTGTGTGTTTAAATCTGATTTGTGTCCATATTTTGCGTCCTCACAGCGAGTTCATGGTGGAAGAGCATGAGCTGCAGAAAGAGAAAATTCAGGAGGACTACAACGATAAATACTGGGATCAGAGATACACCATTGTACAACATCGGATTCCCTCGTTTCTACAGAAAATGGCTGACAAAATATTAAGCACAGGTAAAAACAAAAAACAAATGTAAAACACTATGTGCGCCTTTTATTAGACAAAAAGGATTTTATTCCCTTCTTTGTTATTGCAAAGGGAAATACCTCAACGTGGTGCGGGAGTGCGGCCGCGATGTGACGTGTCCTGACGCTAAGGAGGTCCTGTACACCCTGAAGGAGAGAGCTTACGTGGAGCAGATAGAGAAAGCTTACAACTACGCCAGCAAGGTCCTGTTGGCCTTCCTCATGGAAGAGAAGGAGCTGGTTTCACGGCTGAGGTAAATGGATTTTCAAGTCCTTTATAACGAGGGAGTGACTGGAAAGATTTTACCATAGACACATGAACGGGATCCGTGACATTTGAAAGTCCTCGTGTCCTGTATCGAAGCATCTGCATTTGTCATGTTTCTCCATTTATTTCTGCTTTCTTGTAACCCAGTTTACTTACAGAAAAACAAGCTAAAAACAACATTCATAGAAAGCTTAGCTAAAAAGACTTGAAATAAAAGACATAAGTTGACTTTTTTACTTAAGTTTTATTGAGTTTTTTTTTTAAGAAACAACACAAATTACAGTACAAAAGACAAAAAAACACATGAAGGACTGAAATAGCACAGACTAAACAAAAGCACAGCATAATCTCTGCATTGTTCATAACATTAAAAAGTCTGTCTGCACAAAAGAAAAGCCTGCTAGCTCACAATGTTTCCATTAGTAATTTATAAAACTATATGTTTCCTTTATTGGTTTCATTAGATCCATCAAGCACTACTTCTTGATGGACAAAGGCGATTTCTTTGTGCACTTCATGGACCTGACGGAGGAAGAGCTGAAGAAGCCAGTGGACGACATTGTTCCCCCCAGACTCGAAGCCCTCCTGGAGCTGGCTCTGAGGATGAGCACCGCCAACACAGACCCCTTCAAAGATGACCTCAAGGTGGGTGGGTGGTGTACAAAGTCAGATTTAGTGTAAATGAGTCATCACTATGTTCTTACTCATTGACTTTGGAAACACTGCACATTTATTGACCTTCGTAAAATATATTTATATAAAGTATAACAGAAGTATTTATTTATAAAGTCTCAGTTACAGTTTGTCACCCAGCAGGAGATCTTTAAGAAGAAAAATACTGGAAAAGTCCAAAAATGATATACAGAAAACTTGCATCAATCCCTCCTTTCCATCATTGCACCATTACTAATCTATTCAGTCTATTAGTCTTCCTTCACTCGCAGACTGACCTCATGAATTAGTCACGCTGTTACACACTTGATGATGTTTGAACTTCCTCTCTTTCATTCCACAGATTGACTTAATGCCTCATGACGTCATCACTCAGCTGCTGCGGGTGCTCGCCATCGAGACCAAACAGGAGAAGGCCATCATCAACGCAGACCCGACAGACGTGGCCCTCAGCGGGCTGGAGGCCTTCTCCTTCGACTACATCGTAAAATGGCCGCTGTCGCTCATCATCAACAGGTTCTGTTCTGATTTTATTTATTTATAGGTTTCATTTACGGGCAGCTGCCTCCCCATGCAAGCCCTCTGGATCCGCCCCTGCCTACAAGTACAAACAAAATATAAAACAGTATTTCTTCTCCTCTTCCAGGAAAGCCCTGACGAGGTACCAGATGTTGTTCAGACACATGTTTTACTGCAAACATGTCGAGAGGCTCCTATGCAACGTGTGGATCAGCAACAAAGATTTCAAGCAGTACTCGTTACGTTCTCCCAAATGGTGAGTTCACGTCGCATTTTAAGTTGAATTTATGGTAAAAATAAATCTCACTCTCGTCACACTGTTCACTGTACTTCCTGTACGCAGGTTTGCTGCGGCGTTCGCCCTCCGACAGCGGATGCTCAACTTTGTGCAGAACATCCAGTACTACATGATGTTTGAGGTGATGGAGCCCACCTGGCACATCATGGAGAACAACCTGAAAACAGTGAGTGAATGAGCTCTCCTGTCTGTCCTGATCACTCGCTGTTAGTGTTACTGCGCTCATGTTCGTGAACACTGAAAAACAGGTTTCACAGAAAATGTGTTGTGGTCTTCTTCTCCAGGCGTCAAACATTGATGATGTGCTTTGCCACCACACGAGCTTCCTGGACAACTGCCTGAAGGACTGCATGCTGACCAACCCCGAGCTTCTCAGGATCTTCTCCAAACTCATGGCGGTCTGCGTCATGTTCACAAACTGCATGCAGGTTTGTTGACACGCTTGTTTCTGCTCCTGAACATCTGTACCTTTTAAAGTATTCCTATTAGGGCTGTGCAGTATGATGATATATATAGTGTGACAATGGACAATTCATCTTATGCTCTATACGGCATGGATGAAGGCAACACAAACAAACATGGAGGAGAGTGAATGTGACACAGAACGGGATAAATCCGAACAGGAAAAGGACAAACTGAGGAACTGGAACAGAATTAACACCCGCTAAGCAAATTTTAGATGTGGCGAATAAATTGGGAATAACTTGGAATTGAAAGCGAAGGGCCAGGTTTACGTTGCTGTGTTTTGTTTTTTTTTTGTGTATCAGCGGAGAGTAACGTGACCTTCACTGTCCACTGATCATGACGTCAGCGATCATTTTGCGCTTTCTCCACATTGTCTGTGAATGTTTTGCTATAAGAAACATCTGCGTTACTTGTAAATAGAGATGTGAGGACACATTCCCAGTGTTAAGCCACCAAAAAGAAAACATGAAGACGGAGAGAAAAGTCACAGAAGTCTGTATATATACAAACAGGCAAGATCCCAAATGCTCGTTTTAAAATGTTTGTTTTTTCTTGGCTGTAACAGCGGTTCACTCAGAGCATGAGGTTAGAGCGCCTCTCTCTGGAACAAGGGACTATGGATGGACCTCCCACTCAGAGCGAACATGCTGAGGATGCCGAGAGGAAGAGGCTGACCACAAAGGTATTTTCCCCCACAGTTGAACTGATATCTCTCAGCTTTTGGGGTTAAAGTGTCTCCAGTGATATGTTTGTGCTTTCAGTTTTTAGCCGAGTACGTGGACGCCCTCCAGTCGGACGCAGGCTTTGAGGCCACCATCAGTAAGTTTGACAGTAACTTCAGCATGCTGCTGCTGGACCTGCTGGACAAGCTGAGCATCTACAGCACCAACGACTGCGAGCACAGCATGATCAGCATCATCTACAGGTATAACTGCTGTGTTTGTGCATGTATTGGGTGGTTTTTCTACTTTCCAACCAATGGTTTCCATTCATTACTGCTTTTATTTTGACAGGTCTTTAAAAATTGAAGTTTTGAAGTCTTTTAAAATTTGTTTTTGGGGGAAAAAGTTGATTTAATCTTTATTTTTGTGATCATTTGCTCTCTCTGCTCTTATAATGTCACAGGCTGGATTTCAATGGATTCTACACTGAGCGTCTGGAGAGGATGGCCATAGAGCGGAGTCAGAAAGCAGCAGTGTAGCATGTTGGTATTAACTGTCACCCAGCAATAAAAACATCCTTTCCTCACGTCTGTCCATCGCTTCCAACAACCAACCGTCCAGATAATAACCACACAGACGTCGGCTGTTGATTTAAAAGAGCTGATACTTCAGTGTGTATGTGATATATTATGGACTGTATCGAATGTAGAGTTCTAGTCTGATGTTTGTTGACTCATTTCAATGCTTCAAAAAGTACATTTTAAGAAAAAGTGGAGCTTCTATGTTTATTCTGCTCTGAAAAATGAAAGTTATGGCACTTCTTATGGGTAACTTATTGTACCTGTACAATAATAATAATAATGTATGTTTGTATTCATTAAAACTTTACTGAATGAAGACTCCCTTTGCCTTAAATATACACCGTTTCTGACTGTTCCCGTGGAAACCTCCCTGCTGACAAAATAAAAGTAATTCTGAGGCTCCTATTTCTGACTTTATTCTCAGAATTATGCTTTTAAAGTCAAAATGTATATTTTTTATTTTTTTTATATTTTGACTTTATTATCAGAACTCAAATGTTTCACATCCGTATTTTGTCAGTTGAAAATAGTAAATTACTTTATTATTATTACGGTAAGTAGTTATTGGTAAAAGAGTCATACCGGAAACTTGACGGGACAAACTTCAAAATAAAAGCGTGGAGAGAAAGGTTTGTATAAGGGACATTTGTACGAAGTTAAAATATTACTGTTTAATCTTCATACAGCTGCTAATTGAGTCTAAAAACTCTAATCAAACTTTAAATGTACAAACCGCATATATACTGCCGATGGTACAAACATTGTATTACATTGTAAACGTATTTTAATACACTAAAAAATTATAATTTCTACCCACCAACAATAAACAAATACACATAATTATATTTATTAATTTATTTACACCATGCTACCTCCTGCTGTGACCTGTGCAATGTTCCTTATAAATCACATATTCTATTCTTTCTATTGTTATTATATATATATATAATATTATTTTTTTTCTATTTTGTGGATAAAATGTGTATTTTCTTACCTCTTGTGTTGTATCTGTAGCTGCTTGATCAATAAATCTATTATTATTAAGAGAACATTAAAAAAACGAAGAATAAACTCAAAAAAACATATTAAATATAAGATTGCAAAATTAAAAACAAAACAAAAATCAAAACAACTAAAGTATGAAGTGCTGGTCGTTTCTTCAGATAACAAACAGACATCATTAATGGATGTTAAGCAACTTAATGAATCCAGCAGCACATATTAATAGAAAAGAGGGAAAAAATAAACAATATTTGTTAAATTTAATGAACTTATTATACTATTATCATTTATAAATGCCACAAGCTTGGAGCAACTTAAAATAAAATCTACACCTGTGAATGTAAAAAATAATATAATAAATAATTGAATCAAAAACAATTAAATTAAAAATAAATAAATAACTACATTGAAAATTTCACCGGAATTGTGTTTTAGTTTTTTGAATCGGAGCTCGCTTGACGGTTTCTATCCGGTAAACATGCGGGGAGGCGATAAGAGGGAACCGGGAGGCGGAGCTTTAACGGAACAGCTGCTGGCCACCGATGACTAACGGTGGAGCAACTAACGGTAGATGAGAGACAGAGAGCCCGAGCAGAGTGCACCATCATGGGAGCGAACCAGGTCTCAGTGTGGCTGATATGGGGTGAGTTTATTTATGATAAAACACTTTCATTACGTTTACAGTGCAGCTCTCATACATTCTAATGTTAAATGCTTTTATTATTCGGTCATTGTTCCTGCTTTAAAGTGTCCAAACGAGATCAAATCAGTAGAAAAAAGGTGATTTAGAGGTTTTTAATGAGCTTTAATGAGCTTCCCGCCTGTTGTAATGTTAATTAATGTGTATTTAATGTATTTGATTTAGAAACAAAAAGGCTATAATTATCAGGGAGTGTCGATGACTTCCTAGAAGTCTGTGAAACATTAACAGCAGCAATATCTCCACATTCTGCTCATATATTTACTATAACTGTAATATTAATAATAGTCATATTAATAATAATATTAATGAAGTGTTGCCTGCTGTGTGTAGTTTGTCTCGTGCAGTGCTCGGGGATGTTGTCTCACGTGGAGAGATATGAGGTGGTCAGACCTCAGAGACTGGCGGGGAGACTAAAGAGGAGCCTGCGGGACAACCAGGTGAGTACAACGCACCCTCCTCACCTTCCTCACCCTCCTCACCCTCCTCACCTTCCTCACCCTCCTCACCCACCTGTGACACCTGTTAGTCATGGAGCTGGTGGAAGAACTACCTCAACATGTTATAAAAATCTAATTATTATCACCATAATACTTATAAAAAGATATTTCTCTGTAATCTAATTACTGTAGCTGTACTTTAATTACTGTTTATAATGTAGCTAAAATGAGTTTTTATCTCATCCTGCTATCACATTAAAATGTTACTTTCACATGTGTTTATTACAGTAATTCAGTAATATAATATATAATAATACAACACTCTTGATTAAGGGATATTCTGCCTGATGAGTACTTTTACTTTTAATAGTTTAAGTGCATTTTTAGATAATACTTAATAATGTGTTTGTTGATTCTGGCAACCCCTGTGGACAAAAGCGGTATTGTTTTGTTTATTTCAAGAATCCGATTTTTTTGTAACCTAAAACACAGTTATGAGCTGATATAAACTGTATTTTATGAAATATATATAATCAGTTATATCCAATATGCATCCATTAACTTTGAATTGATAAATCCACCTTTATTATTGCCCCTCTTACAGGATCAGAGAGGTCATATAGAGGCATCCGGATTAAACTGTTTCATAACCAGTTAAAACTCCCTGTAGTACATTTACATTAAAACCTACAGGACTTATACCTGTATCAGAGTATCTTTACTGTGGTTTTACCCAAGTAAAGGTTGTAAGTAATTCTTCCACTGCTGCTAGTTGGTCTAATTGTTATCAATACTTTCAATGTGACTGACGGACGATTTTCCAACAGCTTTATCCTGATACGGTTCGGTACGAGTTGGCTGTTGAAGGGAAAAAGCACACGATTTACCTGGAAAAAAACAGGTAAAAATTTCAAATCCCACTTAACAAAATATGTATTTTTAATATTTAAATATTTAAATATATGTTAAATATATATAATATGTTTTTCCGACTGTATTTTATAGGAATCTTATTGGGAAAGGCTACACTGAAACACACTATTCAGAAGACGGAAAACGTGTCACAACGTCACCAAATGAGGTGAGATTTGACTTTAATTGACCTCTGAAGTGTTAAATTAAGACAAAAAGAAGTCATTTTTAATAGAGTAGTTGAAAATAATGTTTTATAGTCAGGAAATTAGGTGTTTATCCTTTATTTTCTGACATCTCTGTACAATAAAATGTATTTATTTATAGAACTGAACTGACCTAGTGCACTGAATTCAGTGCAATAATACTGAATGAAAGTTTATTTAAAGATAAAAGATAAAATATCTGACATTCCTAACCTGTGATTCATAATCTCATGGACATTAAAGACAAAGAACTCCCTTTGTGAGTCTTTAAGAAGAACGTAAACTAACTCCGGCAGATTGAACGCACAGATTCATCTTTAATTGATCGTGTTTCCACCCAGGAGCACTGCTACTACCATGGTCACATTGAGGGCATGAAGGACTCTTCGGTCAGCGTTGGGATCTGTTCGGGCGTTAGGTAAGAAGATAAATGTTTCACTGCTTCAGAACTTCCTGTTTGTAATTTGCCATCAGTAAAAGTTTGCCAGATATTTGTGAAATGTGTTGCTTCATGATGTTTGGTCATCAGTTGATTACTTTAATCTCTCTCCCACGCTTATATTTCCTTTATTGAATGTCATCTTGTCCAGTTACTGCAGCATAACTTTTATATAATCTGCCTCAACTGAATTTATTTTCCTTTTTATTGTGTTTCTAAATTTCATTGAAATTTTTTAATGCCTTTTCCCTTGAAATCAATGAAAGATGGTTAAAAACAGTACCACATTTGTCCACAGGGGTCGCCAGAATGAACACAAAAAAAGTACCAGTTTATTTGTCTAAATTGTTAGTCGCCGAGTTTTGAAAATCGGTTTGCGGTGTGCCAAAAAACTCAACAGCAATGCCTCTTTTCAGAAATCATGACCCGGTTACTCAAGATAATCCCTAAACCTTGCTTTGAGCAGTTTCACATAGGGACTATTTTCTTTCTACGTATCACCACGCAGAAGGAAACGTGCGTCTACTCACAGACAAGAGGCTCTTGCTCATGACGGCAAAGGATGTAAACGTTAAGGCGTCCTCCTCAGCTGAGCTGTAACGCTAGCTAGCTCAGAAATGCCCCGCAAACCAACCGCTGATGTCTCCAAAACTCGGCAACTCAAACTAAAACAATCTAGATAAATAAACAGCACTACAGGCAAGAGGAAGAACTGTCACTTTAAAGCCCCAACGAGGAAGACCTTTTTTATGTTGATTCTGGCGACCCCTGTGGACAAAAGAGGTACTGTTTCCAAGGCCACCGTGTTCACAGACAGTTTATAGTGGACAAAACTATTCCCATTTATAAGTCAATTCACATTTATAAACATATACAATTTGTTCTCAGTGGCTTTGTGCGAGCCCGGCAGCAGCTCTACCTGATAGAGCCCCTGGGACAGTCTGAGGACGGCGACCACGCAGTTTACAGGCAGGAACACCTGAAGTTCAGCAGCAGGCCCGGCTCCTCGTCCAACACCACCGTATCGTACGACCGGGACCAGGACCAGGGCCCTCGACCCGCAGGACTCTTCAGGTCCAGAATGTGGGTAGGTGATTCGGTTTTATCTAATTCAGCCAGAAGATGATGGAAGTTCAGGTATCTAAAAATGACTCTTAACACTGTAACATCCAGATTAAAGACATGTTCTATGTAAAGGCAGCTTTTAAAATAAAATTCAAAGTCTCCCAGCTGTGAAAATGGAATCTGCTTAAGCGGAGAGGCAAGTTTTTAAAAAAAAATAAATAAATAAATTTTGATGATGATAATAATAATAATAATTAAAAATGTTAAGTACTTTTCAAGCTTGCTTTCCTATGGAGGCCCATTTCTGCCAATGTGAGAGAAAAAGGATTCTGTAGAAATATGATAAAATATTATATATATATGAGAAGATGTATGATATGATATATGAGATGTACAGGAAAGGGAAGTGACACACTGATACTGAAACTAACTAGTGTGCATGTGTATGAGTGAGTAATATACCAACTTATTAATTTACCTATGTAATTGTTCCTGTTGTTATTTCCTTTTCTGTGCTTTTGGTTACATTTAAAGACGCTACAGGCAAATATTTGTTTGTGAGCTGGTCACAAACATCAGCATTACCTGTAATGTCTCTTTAATGTGTAGTTTCTATTGTAGTAAAAGTAATAAACAGCTGATATAAGAGATATAAAGCAGTAGACGGATCTTTGTTGTACTTCTTTATGTCAGTTTAAATGAGAATATTAATATAAAGGTTGTTTTTTTTCTTCAGAAATCTAAAACCATCACAGGTCCGCAGAAGTTTGTGGAGCTGTTTGTGGTGGTGGACAATGCTGAGGTAAATATCATAGTTAAAATTCCTTTTACAGCTGTTCTTTTACAACGTATCTGACTGTGTTTCTCTTCGTCCAGTACAACCAATATGGAAGCCAGACTAAATCCCGTATTCTTGGAGTTATAAATCACGTTGACAAGGTAAAAGCATGTTTTTCCTGCCCTCTTCTCGCCACCGGAAGCTCCCGGTGCGTTCACTGAAATAACTGACGTCTCCTCTCCCCGCCTGCAGCTGTATCGATCTCTGAACATCCGGGTCATGCTGGTGGGCTTGGAGATCTGGACGTACAAAGACTACTTTGACGTTCACATTAATTCGGAGACGGCTCTGGATAATTTTCTCCTGTGGCGGCAGACCAGCCTTCTGCCGAGGACGAAGCACGACAACGCTCAGTTTGTGACGTAAGGTTGAGTCTCAGATCTCCGTGCAGATGTTGAACGCTTTAATGCTGCCAGTTTGACCTGATGTGAGACTTATTTCCCCCTCGACAGTGGCAAAGATTTTGATGGAGATACAGTTGGACTCGCGAATAAGTTTGCCATGTGTTCTGAGAACTCCGGCGGAGTGAATCAGGTACGAATAACGAGTTACACTAATCCTTTAACGAACGCAGGTGGAAGGGAGTGTTTCGGTATCTCATGATACATTCTGCTGCTTTTCTCCTCCAGGATCACCATGTCAACCCGATAGGCCTCGCCTCTACCATCGCTCATGAGATGGGACATAACTTCGGCTTGTCCCATGATGCCGCGGGTTGTGTGTGCGGTCCATCGTACAGCAGCGGGAACTGCGTGATGGCGGATAAGCTCAGGTAAAGTCTTGATCGGTTTTCAGGAAGGAAAATTAACAAGTAACAAACAAACAAAAGTAAAATGAGCTTATAATTAGCCTTATTAGCATTATTTTACTTTCACAGTTGCGTAGTGTTTCTATAGTGGTGATAAAACTTTAAGAATTATACATATGCCCTCTATCCTTGGGCTAAGTCACTCCGTTTCCGATTAAGGGGAATCTTAATGCTGCAGCATTCACTGATATTCAGACTGCAGAGTTCTTCCAACTCTGCGGCAGTTTTTTTTTGTTTCTTGTTTGAACATGACAGTGTCTCGGTGCACGAAGCTCCATAAAGAAATGGTTCGACCAGTTTAGTGTGACAGAAAGTGACTAGCCTGCACAGACTTGTGGAAAGACAGAAACCAGAAGAGTGGAGTCTGTAATAGCAGCAGATTAACAGAATGAAATATACAGCAATCACATACGGATGTAATGTCCAGGTGTCCACATACTTTTGGCCATGTAGTGTAAATACTGTTTTCCTCCTCTTCAGGACAGGAAGTCAAGCGTTCCCGGAGTTCTTCAGCGACTGCAGTGTGGAGCAGCTCGCTGAATTCATGGAGCGCGCTCAGCCCAGCTGCCTGTCCAAGCCGATCTCCGTTACGACCATCGCCATGGCCCCTTGCTGCGGCAACGCCATGCTGGATCCCGGAGAGGAGTGTGACTGTGGCACTGTGGAGGTAAAACCTTCAGTGGAGGCTCTGGCTGTAACAGATTAGTCTTTTTTTTGGGACCTTGGAAAGTTTTAATATAACCTCTGGTGAAGGACAACGTCATTTGGTTTTTCTGTTTTAGCTGACTGTAGTGGTTACTGACTGTAGTGGTTACAGTTAATAAAAGGGAAGGTAGCAGTGACTCAGGGGCATCCCAAGCTGGCCTCCAAATTTAAAATAGTTTTCCTGTGAGCTCACATTCTTGGCAGAGATGCTTGTGTGGGAGATTTAGATCTGTTTTCCCTCAACTTTCATCACTGCATTTCCTGTTGAAGATGTAACTGGATACACAAACATGACACAACTGAAGATTGTGTTTGTTTGTTTTTTCTAGGAATGCAGGAATCCGTGTTGTGACGCTTCAACTTGTCGCCTGACTGAAGGCTCCCAGTGTGCTCATGGACAATGCTGTGACAACTGCCAGGTACCATTTACACAGCTGCCTTTAATGAAGCTTTTAAAGTGGCTTTCTTAGACTTTGTCAGCAGTTTGCTCTTTGGATTTCCACCATTTAAAGGTCCAGTGTGTAACATTTAGGAGGATCTGCTGGCAGAAATGGAATATAATAGATACAGGCATTGGAATATCAAGTCAAAGTCAAAGTCAGCTTTATTTGTCAAATATGCTATACATGCACGACATACAGGACCATGACAGCACGATGAAATTTCTGTCCTCTACGGAGCCCAAGTGCAAACAGGCAATATAAAAAAATAACACTTTTAAAGTTTATGAGAATATTCTTACTATGTATGAGTTATAATAGGTGCACAGTTCTATTTAATTATTGTGAGTATATGCATATACACTCTGTGAGTTTATTAGGGTAGGGGTGAATGAGGGAGTTGCAGTCTGCGAACACTCTCACTGCTAGATGTACTAAATTTTCACTGTGTCAGCACTGTTGTTTTGTTTTTAACAAGGACTCAGATGAGAAGCTTTCTTGCTTCAAGAGTTATGCTAACATGCAGTAATGCTATATGGATTTGTGATTGAAGTGTGTACTCCAATGTTCACGCGCAGTGGCTTTGACTGTTGGTTTGGTGACTTTGGCCCAGCAGTGCTTAGAGTGCTGTTGTATGGTTGATGTGTTATATTTTTGTTGAGGACATTGATTTGTCGGATTGATTGCTTGTTATGTGATCTCGGCTTAGGGAGGTATGTATGCAGGTTCATCCAGAGTGCGGGACAATAATCGTTTCCAATATTTTATTATGGGAACTGCAGGAAGAGCAGTGGAGTATTTCACCCAATTGTGGTGTTTACCTAGGTCTTATCCTTCTGGGAAGCCATGGAAATTTATGTTTAAAGATTCATTTCCATTATTTAGTTTTTAGTATATTTCCTTATAGTTTCACATCTGCTTGGAGCTATTAAAAGAGCCTCTGTCATGGTACTGTGGCTTTAGGCGGTAGTCATGCGGCCACTGCCAGGCGGGTATCATGGAGAGCGTAGGTTTTATATGAATAAGTCAAGGCATAACATGGATCATTACTCCTGTGCTGTGCATATGAGAGATGTTTTTTTTTACTCTATGGCCCGAGACGGCAAAATTTAGGCAGTTTAAAGATAATTCAGGAAAATCAGTTAGTTTGTGATGTTTGTGCGTCCTGTTTTCCATTGCAAGGTCCCCGGCACATTCTCTAAGAATGATGAGGCATCATAAGTGAAGGGGGTGGTGCGAAGTGGTTTGTTTTTTGTGAACGATTTAGTCTAGGATTATATACAACAACTTGCGATAGCCTGTTTGCTTCTAGTGCCGGCATCCCCGTAAAATGAAAAATCTTTAATCTTTATATTCCTCTTAGGTGAGGAATGGCTTGCCAGGATATTCAGTGTGCAGAAGGTTCTGCCAGTGGGTCTCGAGGTCCTGCCCATTTTAGTAGTTTGCCACCGCGTGTTCTGTAGGGACTGTTGTGCGCGTTGAAATAGACAGCTCTAGTGGTGTTTGGTTTTGGTATGAATCGGTCAAAGACCTGTGCTTTTTCTTAGGCGGCTAAGGTGCTACTGCTCTACAATTCTGCCGGCTGCACCACACACTGAGGCAGCATGTGCGGAGGGGTGTTTGGACCAGGTATCTTGCTGTGCTAGGTGTGGTGTGCTCGCTGGTGAGTATGTAGAGAGCGGAACGAAACATAAGAATGGTGACGTGTGCGGCCGAGGGCTTTGTCTTTTCTTTTGGCAGATGACAAGCTGAGCCTCAGGCAGCTTTGGCTCTTTTAGTCTTATTTCTAGTAGCTTTGTTATTTTATTTATTTCAGATGTTCACGATTGTGGTATAATTTCTCTTGTTGTCTAAGAAACTAACTTGTTTGGAAGAGGGTTAGTTTAATGAAATAGTCACTTGCGACCGAGGGAATTTTAATATAGTGAGGTCTCTTGTGTAGTTTGTAAGATATTTTCTATTATTGTTATGTTTGTTCTTAGGCTTGTTCGGGGTATTGTTCATTGGTGATTTCCCGGTAACATCATTCCAGTGTGGGTGCAATCTGGAGGGTTTTGCTGGAACATCTCCTATTTTTTTTTCCTCCCTGTCTTATATTTGTTTTATGATGTTGTGTAAGTGGTGTCAGAGAATCAGGCGTAAGCGCTGAATTCATTCATCGGTTATCTCAAAATTATGAGTTGATTATTGCTATGGAAGGTCAGTGATACTTAGATCTAGTCGTGGGCAGTCAGATTTTTGACTTAATTACATCAGCATTTTATATTTTTGTAACTTCTTCTTGTTGGTGTTTACTTGGTTTTCCTGCCACCAACTATTTGTATGCTTCTTTTCATATCTATATGAATCTTGTTATGGTATAAACTTTCACTCGTGGTGACAGTCTCGGAAATTATGATTAAATAATTCCCATTTATGAAGGATTGTGTTATTAGGATGCTTTAGTGTTGTTTATAGTTTGAGGTGTGAGTGATTGTTGCTGTTGTATTTATTGTTCATGATTTTTGTTGAGTTTATAAGATAGCTTGCGTTACCACACACTGATAAATGAATAGTTCTCGCCTTTTGGATGACAAGCTATATACATATGTGTGGTCTTGTTGGCCGAGTATAGGTGAATTTTTTTGTATTTGAGCAAAGAAATCTGTTCGGGGTTATGTTGGGTAAAACACATTGGTGTGTCTGTTGGTTTAGTATATTGGCCTGGCAAATCCTAGCCATCTTTTAAAACCATTCCCACTGACAGACCTGATATTGAGGTCCTTGTAGAAACAAAAAAATGCAAAAGGTTTTGATATTTTTAAGGGCTCAAAGTTGTGGTTTATTTATCGAAGCAATGGTTAAAACTCAGTGTTATTTAAGAGTCTTAAAAGTATAAGGGTATTTTGTTCACTTTTTGTTTTTGGGCTGTAATTTAAGGAATCTAAAAAACTTGTCAATAAGAGTTATTTTAACATTAATAAAATCAGTACATTTATCTTAAATTAAAACACAAAAACATTCTTATTGTTTGGAAGGCTGATTCTTGACTGAAAAACAATGAAATAACTATCATGGACAGCTTTTTTTGCTTAAGCAGGGTGGACGGGTTTACGTACGGACTTCTGGAAAATTATGAGTTCGTGCATTTGAGTGCTCTTTTACCTCCTGTATAGAGGATGATGGAAACTATCTTGGTTTCCTCTGCTGGGTGTTTGTTTTATTATGTATTTATCCTTGTTTTGTTGTTACTGTGTAAATATAGCTCAGTATGTTGTAGCTTTCTAATTATTCTTTTTTCTAAACTAATGTGTTTTCTATACAACTTCTATTGTTACTTTTTTTTTACTTTGGATACAGAACATGCGTGGAGCAGAGGATTATTTTTTTCTTGTCTTTTAAGATTATTATAAATAAGATTCTTAGTATAAGACTGTTTTCATCTTTTTGGTGAAACTTGGACTTCCATAGTTTGTTTAGAGGGAATGAATATCTTCTTTTCACTCATGGGACCAGAGGTTTGTTATAGTCATACATGTGTTTTTAAAGCCTGAACAAATCTCTTGGGGGAAAAAGGGCAAAACTGTGGGATAGACCTATTCGGCTTATCGTCCCTGCTTATGTCTGTATTACGAGGTTTTCTGTATCAGACCAAGGCATTTTATCCATCGATGTTGCTGTATACTTCTGCTGACAGGCCGTCATCTTGGTTTCTTATCACAAAATACTCCCAAAGTTAGCTCTGGGAGTACTGTCTTTCTATAATTGTTCCATGTATCAGGACTGAAAAGTTAGCAAAACACGGTTGGTATTTATAATATTGTTTTGGAATAAATACACATGAAAGTTTGTAATGTTTGAGGTCCGTTTTGTGCATTATTTAGTTAACTGTGCTGACAATTATCAATCCAGTCCATTTTCTTTTCACTTAGGTCTTCGGGCCGGGTTGCGGGGGGGGGGGGGGGGGTGGGGGGGGGGGCAACGTGGTTGATCACAACTATATGATGAGATTGTATTATATATCTTCTCCAGGCGTGTTCTGGTATTGTCCCAGTCCTGTAATTGACCACTGGTGAGGTTCCGACCTAATTTCCCAAACAAATTTCCTATTTTCATTTGCTTATATTTTCTGGTTTCTTTGCAGGTAATCTTAAAGTGTGCGACTCATATTATTTTGTGGGAGGAGATTCTTTTTTGGGGGCGAGTGCTCATTCACGGGTAAAAGGTTATGGCCTTACACTTGGTGTTACTCGTGGCATTCAGCAATTTGTTTATGATACTGGCTTGAGGATTGAGCGACAAGGGTTTTCTCTCAACAGAATGATCTATGGGGTGCATTGTGTCCATATTTTTCAAGGAACCAATATGTTTTACCAGAGAATTAAGTATAAACCGTCTTAGGCGTGGAAGAGAGCATTACGTGGATTTTTTTGGTGGTTTTTATCTATTGGGTGTCGGAGGCGGTTTTTGCTCATTTGGCAAGAGGCGTGTTGCCTCCTCCGCATTTTTGGCGGTTCGACGAAATGCGCATCTGTGGTTGGCGAGTACGTGGTGTGATACGGGGAAACACGGAGTAGGTTGTGCACTAAGATAATTCATAAATCTAATAGGGTTCGTGAGTGAGGTTCTAGGGTTGTATAGGCATGAAAATCATTCGTATTTGTAGCGTGTGTTCAGTTGGGGACTTTCTTCGGGGTGCTATAATGCTGCCGACGTATCCGTGATCGCTTTATTAATGTGCGTAGAATTGTGTGACTGTTTTTGCGGATTTTATTGTTCTCAGGTTGTTTGGTAATCACATAGTTATGAACGTAGTTTCGCACTGAAGTCTCTTGGCTGGGCTTCTTCACTTCCTTGTTTGTACATCCTTTATGCAGAGTTTGAGCGCTTCTAAATGGTTAGGTCTGAAACTATTCTTTACTGTAGAAGGCTGACTGTTATGACCTCTATTTCTATATTTGTTGCTAATAGTTAGATAAATGACTATATTAAGGTTCTTG